ATTTAGCGTCAATATGTAAGGCTCTAACCGTACAAACAACTGATTAAAATGTATTATTTTTTCGAAGTAACGTTGATTAGACTTGAAATGATTAGTTGGGTGGTATTGGATACTATTGGAAAAAGGAAAAAGTTCGATAGGAAAAAGTTCGAAAGACTTTTGTAAGAAGCACATTAACCAATACATTATAAAAATATTTCGATATAGGTATATCATTTGAAGTTATATTTGATTTTTGACGGAGCAATACGCACAGTCTACATTTCGTAATAAATATTATGTATAATAAAAAAACCCATAAGTTTATGAATATTTAATGAAATTAAATATATTTATTCTAACTAATTTCTGACATCATATTTCTATAAAAATAAATATGCATATTCGTACGAATATATCGTTCAAGCATGAGATCCTTTAATAAAAAGTAAAATTAATTTTTTACATTCAATTAAAAAATGTATTTTTTAATTCCTGGGACTTATGGTTCGCATTGGCTGAGAATAGTCTCAAGCTAGAATCGCACAAGTATCGAATTCGGAAATTTGTTTGCTTAACTCATTTAAAACAACAAACAGTTAACCACTTCGGCGGTTGCTAATAGTCGTCGATAGAGCAAATTGCGCGCTAATGCATTTGCTGCATGCCTTGGTGCGGCATATGAAAACCCCAAGTGGTGAAGTTTGCTGGTAACTACCAATGGCTTTGCATAATCCAAACGTACAGTTTGTGGTGCCATATTGGTTAACACAGCTTAAGTATTTATTTTACATCTTAAATGATGATGACGCTTCGATTGGTGATATTAGGTCGACAGTAATAACAACGTTTTTATTGCCGATTTTGCATATTTTATATCATAAGTGGCGTTAAAGCTGCTTTTGTGGCGGTTTTATGATAAGTGCAATAGTGTATTTTATTATTTAATTAATTATGTATTACTAATTAACTAGTTATTTATTTACATTTGTATGTTAAAAATGACTGAAAATTAATTCATATAAATTGATGAATATTTTAAAAAAAATGAAATTTTTTTCGGTAAATGCGATAACTGATTAAAATAAAAAAACAGATGACTTTGTTATATATTTTGCAGATAGTAAACAAATAAAAAAGGAATAAAAACTTGCATAAATATGATCGTATGAGTGTGTATGATACATTACATAAGAATGAATGTGGCTGCAATTTAAAACCAATTTTCTTAAGGATTAAAATTCTATAAAGATGAGGCTCTCTAACATAACCCATAGTCCTACCAAATGGGCTTTTAACTCCTTAGTGTGTTATTGGTTTGGCTTTTAACAATGATAGATTAACGATTTCTGCACATGATCAAAAGCCAAAGCATCGATAGGTCTCTTTGACATAATATGTAGAAAAAGTTTTCAATACACGATATAGAGGTTTTTTATTTTTAATATAATAACATTATTATAATTACTTAAGTGATTTAGTTTACACAGAAATCAGTTAGTAAGTTCAATAATACTTAAACTAGTACTTTTAGCCGTCCGTTAGACTTTTAATAAACGTGCGCACACCTTTGATGGTGTTGTATTATTCCATATGTTATGAGCAGTACAAATTTATTTCACAGTTGGATAAGTCTGCTTCTGCATAGTTTATGATATTCACAGAGAATATATACAGATGTTTCATCATTTCAGAATAGCGTCAAATACAGGTTTTTGAAAAGCCTATTTATTAAGATCGTTTCTGGTCTCTAGTGACGTATCAAAAAACTAAAGACAATTTTAGTATACTCTCTGTTAATGTTATTCTATTTGTTAAGGATATCCTCTCTGCTAGACTCTGTGCAAAGAGTCTGTTAAAGACTGTCAGATGAGGTGATAAATTCTTTCTTTTATCTTTGAAATTTATCCGGTGGTTTTTGAACTGACATTCTTTCCGGTATCTGAGTTCTCTGCGAATACAAAATAGTTTAGGTTTAATTAATTAATGTTCAGGCCCTTGTTTGTCGAGGTGACAGTTCTCTCTTTCATTGCCTTTGTGTTCTGCATGTCCGGGGACCTACTATAAAAAACTTGGTTTTAAATTTTAACCTGTATCATTGAAAAGCGTTGAATAGTTGTTCAAAATATCTTAACTGTATCCTAGTCTTAAATTTTAATAAATTAAGAAATCTTAAGACTTCAATTTCTTTAGTTTTGATTTTTGATTTTATATTTTACACCACTATGGAATGCATTGTCATATTATTTGAGTTTCGCGATTAATAAATGTATAAATTGACATCTCTTTCAAAAAATTTAAATATTTAAAACTTTAAAACCTTTAAAAAAAGGTGTGATATGAGGAGGTCGTTATCGACACAATTTATAATTTGCCTTAATTTTATATCAAATCAGTCAAACTCGGACACATCCTTGATGTTAAATAATTACGATAATCATATGTTTGTGGAAGTTGTGAGTCGGTATAATGCGCTCTGAATATTAAAGAAAAAAGGATGCTTTTTCTAATCTTATTATTTAATTTTTATTTGTTTTTAAATAAAACATAAAATAAAATAAAATTTTTAAGATCTGAAAGTGTGAGTGATATAAAACCTATGTAAATAAATTTGAGAGCGAATAACGAAGTGAAACACTATTATAGTTTGAAAAATATTTACTCACAAATAACAGGTTTTAATGAAAAATTTTTTAGTTTTAAAATTTTAGTTTACCGTCTTGAATTTTAGTTATTAATTTCAAAAAGTTTTTTTTTCAGTTAGTATTAAAAATTATAATGTATTAGAAATGTTTCTATAAGTGGGTCCCTGCGTTCAGTCTAGCTTAAACATATAAATATTTAGTTTTAATAGCAGCAAGCATTAATAGCAGTTATTAGTATATTAATGGTTATTGTATATCGGAACTTCTTTTAGAATAAGATTATTCAGATAATTCATTAATATAATTCATTTCAGATAAATTATTGATCACTATTAAGAAATCATTTGTTAATAGTCTCCCAGGCCCTAAGCATCTACAGAAGAGAAAGCTTTTATAGAATGTAAATTTTAAAATTAGATATTTTTTTATCACCTATTTGTAATAAATTCGAAAGTTTAGTATAAATTTTTAAAATTGATTACTTTAATACACATTTTAACTCAAAGTATTAGTATAAACCAAGCATTTGGGCAATAAAAATGTAGCAACAAACTTCCTTTCAACTCTATTATTTAATTGGCAATTATGAAGAAATCAAGTAAGTACTGTTAGTTATTAATTGCCACTTTCTACTGTCTTTTCCAATTTAAGCTAATGCAGCTAGCCGTCACTGATTTGGTTGTCGTTCACCGTCCACTTCATACAAAAAAAAAAAAAAACGCTTCCTGCATGCCACTTCAGACCAGATCAGTCTGAAGTAATTACTGCAGCATTAAGCTGACAATTACAGTGTAAGTAACCACCATGGACAACATTTTTTCGTGCAACATTTTAAGCTGCCACTATTACTGCTACTGCAGTATTTTTGCATTAATTTAAATCAAAGCAAGTGCAAATTTAAATTACAGCATCCGCTTTGGATAAGCTCGAAAAAAAAGCTATGTATCTTATCCGTACTTTTAGTGAATGGCTATGCATACGAATATGCCTGAGGCAAATGATGGACATGTGGCAACACTGTGCTGTAATGCCCACATGCCTTCCAGATTAATGTGCTTGCTTTTTCGCGATTAACTGTTTTTGCTACTGTACTTAAGCGTAATTAGTAGCACTTTTTGTGGAATTGCTCTGTTTTTATAGCATTCTTACTTTTTTGTGCTTGTCGTCTTAAACTATTATATGTTGACGTTTTCCGGTTACTATAATATGGGTATGCAAACATAACCATCCATCATTATTGTTGACTATAATTTTCTGCAGACATTCACCGCCACTGTCGAACAAATCAAAATTTCTATGATTTTAATTTATAGTACAATATATACATATGCATGCGCAGTGAAGTCGACGGTGGAGTACTCGTAATGCTCTTTCACTGACTGATAAGTTCATTAAGTTTTAAATGTGATATGGCAAAACCGCATAAAAATGATCCACTGAAAAATGTGGAGCTACAGCGGAAGTGTCACTTATGGTAATAGTTATGCAAATTACCAGTGCGATACTAGTGTGTGGCAACATAAATTTCTGAACTGGTTAAAAAAATATAAAACAGAAAATATCATAATAAAAAATGTGAAAAGAATAAAGTTTCTGAGAAGTAGAACTCTCAAATTACTTTGAAAAAATTAAGAAATCTTTTTTTTAACAAATTTTGGTACATAAATGCCACATGAACTACAAAATTGCGTTAGTACTGGAAAACATATTTTTCAGCGATTAAGCGCACCTTTATCAAAATTGGTACATTAAGGCTTACGGCTTCCCTTTGTTGTTCAGATGTTTCGTTTATATTTGTTGTCGTTTGTTGTTGTTTTTTAATAAATTTAAAATTTTTAAGTTGACATGAAAAGTTTAACTTCTTGACTATGCTCATGTTATGAGCTAAGCTCGTAAAAGATGAATTCTGTGTTTCTTCAATTTCTTCCCAGTTTTTTTGTTTTTTTGCTAATTTCGAGTCCTTAATTCCTTTTAAGTAAATGTTGCAAAAATTTTGTCCCTAATCGGATTTGTCGGTTAAATGAAGCGTGCAGCATAAGCGAAAATAAATTTAAGACAAAAAAGGAGAAACAAAAATTATTTAAAACCGCAAAAGTTATTAATGATTAACTTTGCGCTTGAGATTTAGTTTCGAAAAAGATGCTCATAAGCTTAAATTTAATTCTCTTCAAAATTTTTAAAAATAACTTTGTACGTTTTTCATATTTATGCTTTAAATAAAAATAATAAAAATATTTGTTCATTTTTTCTTTAAAATTGATTTATTAGCCCGCCACAGACAAACTTCTCTAAACTAAGTCTTATAAGATTTATTCGTTAAACATTTTTTTCTTCATTAACAAAATAATTAATTTTTTTTTTATTTATTTTTTACAGATGGTTTTGTCACTTCGATGATGACAATTATGTTAACGTACCACGCCTTGTTAAGCTATTGGACGAATACAGTCCATCAGTGGACTGGTATTTGGGCAAACCTAGTATTTCGTCGCCACTGGAAATTCACTTTGATAGCGTAAGTCTTAATAAAGTTTATAAAGAAAATAATTTATATAAATAATAAAGCAGTTTTTATTTTAAATGTTAGTTCTTTAATTAATTGAAGTTTTGAGGGACCAAAGAAATGTTTCGTGTATTACCAAATACCCATCAATAATGTTATTGATCTTTGATTTATGCTTGAATTTGATTGTTGTTCAACAATTTTTTAAACTCCAAGTACTATGAAGTTGACTTGTACTTTGTCAAATGCAAATCAAAGAATCAATTTTTACACACTAAAGATAATTATAATTAAAATTTAAATTATTAACATTTAGCACTTTAGTATACAGTAAACCGTTGAGAATATTAGCATTTTTATAGCGGGGTATATTAGAAGTGTGTAATAGCTTAGGTAATATGTCTGCAGCCCTGTTGCTGACCTATTGTGGACTTCCCTTCCTCTTGTATAAGGAAAGAAACAATTATTTTTTAATAAATTTTGACAACTTTTTAATTATATTACGGATATGTTAGAAGTTATTAATATCTTAGGTTATAACATATGTCTGCAGACTATCGTTGATACAGTTAGGTCTGTTGTTGACCTATCGTGGACTTCCTTCCCTTTTATATATAGCTGGGAGCAACGATTTTTTTGTTTAATTTTGACAATTTATTAATTTTGTTAAGGAAAAAGTATCTACCGACATTATTATGTTATAATGTTATCCTGCGATTATTGATATCGCGCATGATATATTAATATATTCATAACAGTAACTTTTGATAAATGTTCAAAAGCGACATATGCGACGTTTTAAATAGCTTAGTTTCAGTTATATGGATGTAGGTATTGATCGATGTACTCAGGATTTTTATTGATTTATGTGTTTTTTCGCCAACTTATTTATTTATCATCTGCCGAAAGCATTCCTACATTAGAATATATATTATTTTTAAATATAAATTTTTGTTAACATTTCAATCTATTTGTACACAATCTCAACTATGACTTAAATATAATGGTATCAAACTTAATTTTTTCGTATAATATCATATTATACTATATAGAGTTTCGATATTACTCCTGTGAGTACAGATACAAATGCTGTACTTATTTTTTGTATTTGATTTACCCGTCTTTTATTCCAACTGGATCAAATTAATTTTATGTATGCTTTTACTCTATTCTCATATAGAGTAAATATAGAGTATCATATAGAGTATTCTCATATTCTCATATTGATAGGAGATGAAATTATTCTTCCATGCTATGTGTTATAGTTTTAGAATTTGCTTATTATAAGTGTCAAATTTAGCGGTTAGTTTGGAACTGTAAATTTTGCTTTGTAGTAAATGGATGGGCGACAATCACTCCATTGTCCTGTAGCCACAAGCCTTTTTGTGGCTTTTGTGAGTAATTGCTTTGCTATAACCTTTGTTATGGGAACATGTAGCAGCCAATCTATAGCATAATTTGATGCAGAACGTAATGAGCTTCTTTTCTAGTATAATTGTAATACATATTGTTTTTTTGTTTATTTTAATTTTTTTTTTTATCTCCGGAGTTGAAGTTTTGATCTTGTAAAGTTCTGGTAAAGTATACTATCTTTATTTCTTCAACTTCGCATTCAAATGCTGATGTGTTAATTTTTCATAGTAAGATTGTAGATACTATTCACAAAAAATTTTAAAATATTTCGACTACAATACTAAAAATATTTATTATTTAATAGTACTTCGTTCATACACTGGAAGTTGTAATTTTATTTATATTTAACTTAAGTTGAGCATTGGGTAAATATTTTAAACTCAAATTATTCAATAAAGTTTAAAAGTCTTTTTTTCTTTGTTAGAAAAAAATTAAAATTTATTTTATTAGAAAAATATAGATTCAAATATTATTTAACGATCAAATAAACCTATAATATAGTACTTCTTTTATAAATATATGAATAGATTGTAACGAGCACAATAGGTAAATTCCATAATTCTAGTCTATTATTAGTAAATTTGTTGCACATCATATTAGTTTATTTTCTGCAATAAATTCAAAACTAAAATGCATTAAATTTTATGCATTTCAAAAAGTTACATTTCAGTGTAAATTTTTGATGTCTTGACTTACAATTTCCTTATGTTATTAAACAGTTATTACCAATTAAAATATTATTATTTTTATGTAACTATTAAAATATTAATTATGACAATAACCACAAAAAACTATAGCCATCATCAAATTTATGTGATTTATTGAAGTGAAAAATGAAATCGATATACAGTCAAGACTCTGCAATACAGTTAAAAAGATTTGTATCTATAGTAAGATTTTTTGAAGTTAATAAAACTACTGCATTCACTTTTGAATTTATTGCATTTATAAACACTTCTTTTTAACTCGATAGTAAATGGTATCTGATCACAGCTGAGCTGTGTTAATAATTTAGTAGTTGCTACTCTTCTAACACGTGTACAAACATAAAAACTTCATTGAATAAAAAATATATTAAATTTCAAATAAAATATTTATTCTTTCAAAATACCGACTGATTTCTGCGCAAACATTAATCTTACAAATTTACACCAAAGACTTAACGCTGAGCCTGACACATTAATTATTGATATGATCTATTTAAAGAGCTTAAAGACCGACTATAGTTTCCGAAAAGCGGTATTTCATAGATATCTGTTTCGTGAAAATTAGATAGTTAACTATAATAGATGAATAAATAAATGAATGAACACGATAGATTTAATAAATGTATTGGAATTTTGCATTTAGAGACAGCAGAAATAATGCTTGTAACGGATTTTATATATTATGAGATTTGGTGTAAAATATAGTAAAAATACGTTTTTTGCATAAAAAAGTCGGCAATCAAGTCAAAGAAGTTTGTAAATTTTAAAATATATTTAAACGTATTTCTTATGTGCATCCGTAACATGAGACCAGCTGCATTTCCCAGTTATAATCATTAAGAGCCTTTAACTTAATATTAAAAAAAATTTATTTTCATTTCTTTTTAAGCTTAAAATACAAAAAATAAAAATAAAATGATTGCTAATTACTTAAAATTGCAATATTTATTTTTATAGGTTTTAGGTTACACGTAGTGAAAAAAAAGAAAGGATATAAAATTACCTTACGGTTTAATGAGTTTCTTTATATTTTGTTAATTTTAATGCTCAATTAATCTTTTTAAACTTTAGTTATTTAAAATTTTATAACTTTATTTTATTTTTATTTTATTTTTTATTCCTGTTTTATTTATTTTTTATTTTTCCAGAAGAACCAATCGACCAACAAGAAGATAACCTTTTGGTTTGCAACAGGCGGTGCTGGCTTTTGCCTAAGTCGTGCTCTAACTCTTAAGATGCTACCAATTGCTGGTGGTGGTAAATTTATTAGTATTGGGGACAAAATACGGTTTCCAGATGACGTGACAATGGGTTTCATAATTGGTACGTTACTTTACACAGCTACAATTCATTAGAGATAGTGATAATTAAAAATAATTACATTTCTTATTCAATTCTTTTCTTGCAGAACATTTATTGAAGGTGCCATTAACTGTCGTCGATAATTTCCATTCACATTTGGAACCTATGGAGTTTATACGTCCAGAAACATTTCAAGATCAAGTTTCTTTCAGTTATGCACATATGAAAAATCAATGGAATGTCATTAAAGTTGATGGATTTGATTTAAAAACAGATCCAAAACGATTTTATTCATTGCACTGTCAATTGTTTCCATATTTTAGTTTCTGTCCACCAAGATGATCCCTTAAACTAAATGCTTAAAATCAATTTGTTGTTAGTCAAAAATTGATCGTAGTTTAATATGCAAATGGTTGCAAGAATTAAGTAAATTATTGTTGTAGCAGCAAAAAAACTCAAAATGTTGTTGATTTAGTTGAAAACTAATAAAATCTCAAAACTGTGATGTAATTTTAGTTAAAAATTATACTATTGTAAATATTAGCGAAACATAAATCCTAAAAGTAAATAAATGTCCCTTATTATTGTATCTTAAATTTTATGCTTGCCTTTAAATTAAAAAAAATACTTCTGTCCTGTGTTTTAATAAATTGTTTAAATTATATACAATACATTTTTTGCAATTTTTATACATATAATGAGCTTCCATATTAACCACTTCCGTTTATTGTATTTAAAATGTGCTTCCTTTAAGTATATTTTATATAAAAAATCTTTTATATATGTATTTCTAGTCTCTTAAGGAGAATTTAATTGTAAAATATTTAAAATATTCCTAATAAAATAATTAATACACTTAAACCATTTATTGATATCATTAAGTTGTAGTGTGATTGTATAAAAAATTGTTGTAGTCTTAAAATTTGCATAAATTAAATTGAATAAAATTGTTAAAAAATAATTATTTTTCGATGTTTTTATTTATTTTTTTCGATTAATGTTTAAACAGGGTTGTAATTTATTTTATGTATATTAGCCAAAATTTTTTCTTTCAGAGTAGCAAAAGAATACTTGCAACTTACAAAGGAAAACATGTGAGTCAGAGTTAGGTTTTAGTAACAAAAAATGTTGCGTCTTAAGTTTTAGTGCAGTCAAATACAAAAATCAATCTATTGTGACTGGAAATATGTTGCAAAATTTCAAAAGAATAAGATAAAAACTGCTTACTCTTGCTCGTTTATTATTAATTATATTGTCTTTTATTTATATTAATTAATTTTTTGTTTGCAATATTTATATTTCATATTTTACACAACATAACAAAAAAATTTTTGACATATTTTAAAAGTGATGCCAATCTGCTTCAACCACACTTAATGTTGTTTTTCTACAACCCTGAAAGAAAAAATTACGGCTATTGTAATATTTACTATTAAACTAAATTAACTAATTTACTGAAAGGTAAGAGAAAGTAATAATAGAAAAAAAAAAATTAAATGATCGATAAAGAGGAGAAAGAAGGCGAAATATAAAAAGAGAGACAGAGAAAGAGAGAGATAATTAAGAAAAATTAACACATATAATATAATTATGTGAATATCCAAGAAATGGAAAAATAAATGCTAAAGCATTGTTTGTCAACCTTCGTTACACGACACTTCTATCATAATCTTATAGTATTTGCCAACTATTTCCAACTATTTCTACTTGGTTATACTGATCTTAACTTGATAATAAATTTTTCAGTTTCATTTCAAATCGTCTTTTTTCATTATAACTGGTCAGGAAAACATTTTAACGTCATATTGAGAGAGGACAGGATTAGGGTCGGTTAGAAGCACAAAAAATCAGCATTACTTTGATTCCTTGGAAGCCAGTGGCGCAAAGGGTCATCTAGTACCCTGAGAGATCTATGTCAAAGTAGCATAAGGGATGTTGTCATACAATTTACATAGTAAATAATTGAACCATAAAAATTTATTAGTTTACATGTGACCACATTTCTTTGTTACTTTAAATCCTATTATATTCTCAAAGTGATTCTCAGACAACATATAAAAATATTTTGTTATTTCTCTTTAGTTTCTAGTCTACATACTTTGACTAACTTTTAACTTGCATTGTTTCGTGTTCGTACTAATACATATGGTAATATTGTATTTGCTGGACAGATATTAAGTAATTTATTCAACGCTGATCGTCTTTTTTGCAAGCCGTTATGCCGATGCTAGGGTGGCCAAATTAATTAGCCAGAATAGGTTTGAAGATTACCCATTTATTCCTTTCCGATAGACTTATTGACCAAAACTTAACTTAAAATATTGAATGTTAATAATATTATAATATTAAAGAAATACGTTATAGTCAGTGTTTTATTCTCTGATAATTGTCACATGATTTAAAAATTTTGGAATGTTTAGATAGATCTTAAACTTATTCAGGTTCGGATCTTCAAGCATTTTAATATTCGAGTGTGCCTGTGTTTAAGCGTTTGGCATGAGCAGAGCGAGCTACTCAAATATGTTCGAACATGATATGGTACTGGGACACTGGACCTGAACCGGATTTTTATCAAACATAACAAAAATAAAGTGAAACTTAAAAAAGGATTTACTGTTTAAATAGTTCTACTATTTCCAAACATTTGAAGTGTTCGATTCATTTTATAGTGTACGATAAACGATATTTATAATATTTAACTTACAATTAAGAGACGATAGACCACCTTTGCAAATTATTTTAATTTTTAATCATTTATTATATTATTATTTCATCCATATGCGGACAAAAAGCTTTCTAAAAATAGGTATTGTAATTGGATTTAATATCATTAATTAGCGAAAATTGTACGAAATCAAATGTTATACTAAATGCGTTAAGAAAGATATTTTAGTTTAAAAAAATAAATTAAATTCAAACAAATTAATTTGAAAGTTTTGCCATTTATAAGCATTTCGATTATTTTAGATTTTATCCAAAATTTAAGTTTGTAGTAACAGTGAGGTGTCATGTTCTTCTTAAATATAAGTCAAACTCGATTCCATAAAACTGTCAAAAAATTTGTCTTACTTTCATTTTTAACACTTTCAAAACTTCAGATTTTTTTTTGAAATCTTGAATTAAACTCATTCGTGTTAAAATGCGTATGAAAGGTAGCAGTGTGCAAGTTGACAGTTGACAGAAGGAGGTAATCAGCAAATAAAACTTAAGGGTCTGAAGTCGAAAAAAAATATTTGAAATGACAATGGAAGTTCAGATTTTGAATGAGACTTGAATTAAAATTGAAATTTCAAATGCGAAAAAAAAAATGAAATTTAAAGAGTTTGTCAGTTGAGTGTCATATTAATTTTGAATCATTTTATTAAATACATAAATACATTGGTTGTACTAAAGGTGAAGCATTTACGAAAAAAAAGAAAATATTTAATACGAAATTATATTACACTTTCAGGATAGAGTAAAATACATCGACATTTTCATAATAATATCAGTGAGTGAGACTTGAACCCACTAAACCACCTCTTAGAAATGAATGGAGAAGATTTTCACAGCATTGTGAAAACTTTATCCCAGTAATCAGGGGAGAGAAAAAACAGATGTAATATATATAATATTAGTGATTATACATGTATATACATATATATATACATGCATATATGTCATATTATGTATATTATATATATTATGTATATTAATAAATAATAATAAAAAAAACAGTAATATGTTATTGAAAATAGTTTGAAAATATTCTTAAAAACCTTGAAAGTAGCTTGAAATTGAAGTTGTTTTTTTGTTCTGTAAATGACACCCCCAAAATATCATTTTTAGATCAGACATCTACTGGGATTGATTCGTTAATTCAAAAAAGTTTGAAAAAGTCGCTTCTTTATGCCGATATGTGAAAATTTTCATAAAGGTGATGAAAATTTATTCCGATTTGGTTTCACTTATCTCTCCGTTCACTAATTTGCAAGTTTGTCAGAAATGCACCTATCATGTCCATGTAAATGGTACTGGCTACGCAAACAGCAAATATTTTAAATAAGTCCTTATTTTTTAATATTTCCTTCTTCTACTATATTCTGACCTAGGCAATATCAATATCCATAGATATTGAGTAACTCTGAGCTAAGTTACACGTTCATTCAACTCGAAGATGTTGAATATGCTGATAACCAAAGTTTATAAAGCCACAGATACACCGATCTTCAAAATAACATTAATAGAATCAGCACTTATTCGTGTAACGCTGGTCTTGAGATTAATACATCAAACACAAAGATTATGTGCAGATAAAGACATCGCTTCTTGTATGCATCTAATCTAACTGCACTAAAAACTTTATTGACTTAATTAACATTTGTAAGACGATTGAAATAATAAAAGCAAAGTAAAATGATGATTCGTATTATTAAGAAGTAAAAATAAGTAATTAACAAAATTTATAATTCTTACTACGCTTGTTTGTAACAAGGATATATAAATATATCCTTAGTCGTATATAAAAATGGTGTCTTTATTTTTGAAGATTGCCTGGGTTTAATATATTACTTTTAATATGCACTAAAGTCAAATTTCAACCCATAGTTCAACGGTATAGATCTTTATAGATGGTATAAAAGCAGAGTGTTTAAAATTGTTTTATGTAGTTTTTATTAAGCGAACTATTTGATATAACTTTAAATATATATCGAATAAAATGTTTAGAAGAAAATGTAGCCGCTAGAATGAAGGCTCACACAAGGACGGATTTAAGTAAAAGCGATCAGTTTTAAAGAGGCTGATTTTACATGTTTTCTGGCCACATACCATCACTAATTTAGGGGTAGATACTAGATCAAATGCTTTTTGTTTGAATTATGTTAAAATATGTTTATTTTATTATAATCACGGTTGCCACTTGAAAATTTTTTCCTGTACCAAAATTGGTTTGAAAAGGCACCATTTCTGTAAAAAAAGTCCCTAGTTTTTTTGGACTTTTTTGTATTTTCGTTCTGTGTTTTTCATAGTGTTATAAATGAATAAAATATAAAATAGTGCAAAGTTGCATTTATAAAAAAAATGAATTGGAAATATCCACAATAAAGTTGGGTCGTCAAAAATGTACCATTTTTTGAATATGAGTACCAAACGAAAAAAAAAGTACCAATTTTGGTACTTAAGTACCAATTTTGGTACTTAAGTACCATAAGTGGCAACCGTGATTATAATGAATGGTTAAAATTCTGATCTACGAGCTGTTTTAGTATAAAATTAAATATTTCTCTATTGTCAACCATTGTTGGGTACAGTCAAATTGTTAGATGTATATAGCCGTTTACTCATAGTCGTTGATAAATGTTATATCATTTTTGTTAAACTTTTAGACCACCAAATTCTCAAGATTTCGATTTGATTTTGCTTGCAAATTTTGTTGTTTGTATCTTATATCAGCTCTTTGATAAGTAACTCTTAGATGTTCCTTATCATTAATGACAATTTAGTGTGAAATCGATCCGTTAGTTTGCATGATAAAACTGACCACTAGTATGTTGAGAAAGTGGATCACTTGGAATTTTATACAAATGTACATTGTAATATTAACATTAAAAGTATGGTTTATAT